CAGCTAGAATTGTTTGTAATCAAATTGGAGCTCTAACACAAGGTTTCTATAATAAAAACTTTATTTTAGTATGCATCACCCACTTGACAGGTTACAACTATGGCACTGTTAGTGATATAGGATTTGCTCAAGGTAGTGGTGCTGTACTGTTAGGTTATCTTTCTTGTAATGGTGACGAGACTAATCTTCTTAACTGTGATCAGAACTATTACTACACTAATACTCAGTCTCATTGCCAGTCTCATTACTATGATGCTGCTATTGTATGTGAACGTAAGAACCAATACTTTACTTTATATATGTACTTATTATACATAATCCAGGTCACTGTGATAGTTATGATATGAGACTGAGAGATGGCAATACAAGGTATGGCAGAGTAGAGGTGTGTATTAGTGAGACCTGGACAACAGTGTGTGGTAATCAGTGGAACTATGGAGATGCTTCTGTTGCATGTAGGCAGTTAGGACTCTCACCTTATGGTACGTGTACATTTGGTGATAAAATGCAATGTTATACATTCAAATGTATGCAGGTTCCATTCCACTCACTAGCTATTATTACCACAACATATGGTCATATGGTATCATTTATCCCAACTGCACTGGAATTGAGAGCGTTATATGGAATTGTTCTCATGTTGAAACTAATAATTGTCTAGATAATAGTGATGCCGGAGTAATTTGTCAAAGTAAGCAAGATATAGGTACTATCATGGATGCATATATTCTTTGTATAGCTGGTAATATTGAGCCAGTTGATTGTGTGTCTGGTGATGTTAGATTGATAAATGGCACTTTAAAAAGTCAAGGAAGATTGGAAGTGTGTATTGGAAATGTATGGGGCACAGTGTGTGGAAGATCATGGGACAATTATGATAGTCAAGTTGTTTGTAAACAATTAGGATATCAAAGATTAGGTAAACAGCATTTCTTTACAATAATAGTGCTTTTATTTTTTTCCAGGAGCATCATACGGTTATGAACTATATGGTCATGGATCTGGACCGATTCTTTTTGGTTACATGTATTGTAATGGACATGAAGAATCACTTTTTGATTGCAGTAGGAATGTTCAAAGTGTAGTTTCGGGATCATGTGCTGATCATTATTATGACATTGGACTGAAATGTGAACGTTAGTTAATAAAATACAATGCTTTTTATTTACATTGTACGTATAGCCTATTGTGAAAATGGAGCTGTTCGTCTTCAAGAAGGTACACTAACTTCTAATGGTCGAGTTGAAATATGTGTCAATGGTACATGG